CAATTGTAGTGCTGGTTTTAAAATTTATGTTCTGAATTATCAGTCAGTAGTGCCAAATGATCTACAAAGAAGTTTGAATTACACTCAGAGAGAAGGTGAATGTTTGTGTTCCTCCACCTTTTCTTACAAGAGGTATTTGCTTCTTTTACAAGTTGGAATAATCCTTAGATCCAAACCCACCCTCTATTAACAGTTCCTCTGTTAAGCCTGATGCTCAGGATTTGTCCAGAAACTGGAGCACTGCTGAAAGCAGAAATGGTTTTAAAACCGGCTGTTAAAAAAATGCAAATTCTTATCTATACAGAACATTTCTGTCTTGCTGTGTATAACAGCTTTGTGCTCAGGAGGCATGGATTCAAGTGGATGTGTCTCTGGCAGCTGTAGGAGCGGGTACTGTAGAGATTTACAAAGATGGATATTTATGAGACTGAAAATGCTCTGTTTCCCCAAGCTTGTTAAAATGAAACAGATCTGATCCTCTACAAAAGAAATGAATGAAATTATTTCGTCACTTCCTTTTTTTTTCTCAGTCTCAACATATCTTTAAACATGAATAAATTGCTGTTAAATAAGAGCGAGTGCAGCAAAATAGTCTCATTCACTTCTTTTTTCATATTATAGTAAAACCAATATGGGACTACAAAATAATAAAAGGATATCCTTGTATTTCAGCTAAAATGTCTGAAAATATATGATGAAGTTAAAGGCATAGCTATGAAGCTTTTCTCTCTTAGTCTGTAAGGCGCTTGAATATTAACTGGAACTTGAACAAGTTAAACTCATACAGCTAAAAGCAAATCCCAAAAAGTAGTCTATGACTCCCTTTGCTTTCAATGAGAAATTGGCCTGTGTCTGCAAATCGCCTCATTTGGCAGCCACACCTAATACAGTTTAAACTCTCACTGGCATCAGCAAAAAAATTACCTGATTAGGGATGCAGGATTGGATCTGAGATAATAGCATATTAAAAATCCAGCATGGATTCAAAAGCTACTAATGGGAATGAAATCCCTGAGAATATCAAACATTGCAAGCAGTCGGACAGTTTCCACTGCACATACTGAAATGCTAAACAATAGCAGCTCTTGCATGTGTGACCATCAGGAAACACAGCTGTGCTTCTTTGTGCTACAATGAATTACTTCCGTTGTATATAAAATTGAAAGTATTGGTACTCGGGGGCGGAAAAAGGATATCCTGATACACTGCTCCTATTTCCTTACCAAGGCCTATTACTGAATGCTGCACCATTAATTCACTCTCAATGAATTACCCAGCACAGAACAGATTGGGTCCTTAATTGTTATCCTAAAAGCTGCTTTTTCTTTGGATTTTCACTCTCCAACATTTTTATCTCATTTTATTACGTTTGCATATGCCCTCTTTGATAGTAATTGTTCACTTTTAATTAGTTGCACTTAATAATGAAGGTCTAAAATAAACATTTACTTAACTATCTTTTGACTTAAAGATAGTTCTATAAATATTTTTTAAGTTACAAAATAAGAGAAAGCACAATCTTTCTCACTGTCCTTTAAAGACATGAACAAAATCATCTCAACTGAAGTATTTGTGGCCAGGTTCTCTGAAGCTGGCACACAGAGATTAATTTATACCTTTCTGTGCCAGTGAATATTCCTAAGCTGGAGGGGAATGAGAATTGTTACCCAGAGTTAGGGAGGAGTAGCAACAACCCTCTGTTATGTGTTCTTTTTTTTTTTTTTTTTTTTTTTTGAGAATTGCATAGGAGCAAGAACTGTTTGAGGTTGTACTAAATAGGCAAATATGGACCCTAAGGAAATACACTACCCCCAAACTTTAATATCTACTTTTTAATAACACTGACTCTTTCTTTTTAGAGAACTTCTAAACAGAGAGCAGCTTCTGTGACTCCTTAGGAAGTCAATGAAGTCTCCAACAACCACCAGCTCTGTTAGTCCATAGAAGGTGGATAACGTGTTCTGTATTTGTCTATGAGAATTTAATTTCTCAGGTTTGTCTCCTCTCCTAGAAGTCTGACAGTCCAGCACCACCAGATTGTTTCCAATCCATTCTAGGATGTCTAATACAAAGCTGAATAACTTACATGTGGAAAACATGGAGCCCTTCAATGGGAGAATAAGTAAATTTCCCAAATGAGCTGAAAACTTGCAAGCTTGAATTCAGACTGGTGTCATGATGCAGTAACAGGAGAATAACAGCTCAGAAAAACTCCCATTCCAGAAACTTCTTTACATTAAAAAATGGCAGAAAATTGCCATCCACAAAACAGCCCTGTTGTTTTGCTGCAGCACTGGCACTGGGAATACAATCTCAAGGCAAACTGTGCTCTGCCATTATTTCATACCCACACAGCTCAGATTCAGGTGTGCTCTGAGGCCACAGCTAGAACCAGAATCCCTGGCTAGAATTTTGGATTTCTTGCAAGGACTTTTTGGCCAGAAGTAGATGCCATGTAGTGTACATGCAATAAAGCAGAAACTTTCAATTAGTGTCATCTATGTTGTGCATCCACAATAAATCTCAGGAAGTCTGGTGTTTGCAGGATGCAGTGGGCTGAATGCACTGACATGAGCAGCAGAGCCCACTCTGTCACCTTTTGCCCCACAGCTCCCAGGCCTGGGAAAGGAACAGGAACTCTGCTCGGGCTTCTGCATGTGCATCAATCACAGGGACATTGACAATATCCTTGCCATCAGTAAGGGAAAAATTTGCAGGAAGAAAATCTGCCAAGGAATGTGCAGGGGACAGGTGAAGAATATTTTGTTGTGAAAATACTACCTGGTCTTTGTTTATAATGCACAAATAAAAATTTTATTCCTGAAATCCTATTTTTTTTATATGAAGTCAGATTTTTGGAAAGTATGCCCTTTTTTCTGCTTCCACATCTCCTATGCTATCAAAATTGTGGAGTTGTTACTTCATAAAGCAAAAATATCTAGCAGGTAACAAAACCCAGGTCTCAAGGTGCACTCAAATTTGTGCATCATTCTTAAGCTACATACAATAAATGGACTAGATGACAACAATTTATGCTCAAATAGTGCAGGCATGAAACACATCCACTTAAAGGAAATCAGAATCTCAGTTCTGAGTGTTTTAATTCACACATGTCCTATACATGCATATAGGAATGCTTGCATTAGCCAACATGAAGATTTCTTTAAATGAAAATAAACCTCGATCCCAGCATTATTTTCCTGTCTACATATGATTAAAACTTAAAATAATTTAAACACTGTAAATAATTCTTTTGTTTTGAAATGAGATCTTTAATTAAGGCTCTAGATATTTATTAAACCTCCTAAAAATCCAAAACCTCCTCTTTAATGCACCATGAGAATAAAACAATCTAGAACAGCAAGTTTTCTGGCTTTAGTGTAGCAAGAAGCATTCATTCAGCTTCCACAAGTACTGGAAGAATCACCTTCACTCAATTCAAGATTGTATTTTTATCTATATCTTCTAATTAAAAGAAAAATAAGTCCCTACTCTTTCAGTAACACTATGCACAGTAAAAGTAAGTAGAAGCAGAAGAATTTCCATAACATCTTTGTCATAAATGAAAATAATCCAATTTCTTAAGTAGTAAGATTAGAAAATACATTTGTAGTAGAGACAGATTTATTAATGATACCTTATGCATACTAATTTATTAATCCCTAACAGTTATAATCTGAAAACTTTTAAAGGAAAAATGTTTTGTTCAGAAGTTTAGCTTTGTTAAAAAAATCCTTGTCTTTATTACAGAGAAAATTCTTGTGACTCAGCCTGACAGTCCTTATTAGTACAACACACGTTTGTTACTGTTTTCTTTTGATGTAATCTTCTTAAGAGGAGGAACAAATGTATTTTAACAGCTATCCAAGGGCATATTTCATAGGCTCCCAGCACAGAATTTATGCCTGAATATAGTCTGAATCTCATCCATAACTCTGATTTGCCTGGGAGAACAAAGCGTTTCATTGTGTATTCAATAATGGTTTCAGCAACCTTATTCACACATTCCTTCCTTTCTTAATCAGCACAAACTGTTTGAATTCAAGATGCATGATTGGGGTGGGAGGGGAAACAATGCCAAAGCCTATACTTTTGAAATCTCCATTTTCTTCAGAGCAATAATCTCTCTTTAAGAATGTCTGTTAAGAATCCCTTAATGCAACATTTGTCACACATTTTGCACCTTGTCCTTTGCTAATGAACTTTGCTCTATTCCCTTTTTCCACCCTGTCAGCTGGCATGGTGCTCTGCTTATGCCTCTATTGCTTCCAGTTCCAACAACTGCACTCTCACAGTGCACAGTTTAGGAAGCACTGTCTTGTGCAAAGGTTAAAGGTCAGAACAGACAATCTGAAAAACAGCAATTTTGATCTGACAAAATACTGCATGCATGCTGGGCATTCATTTCAATTGCATTTCTTATGCACATTGTAAACAGAAATTGGGGCTGGGAAATAAAATAAAAAATGCACGAAGTCGTGATTCCTGACGCTGTACTTGGTAATGGCATCTAAATCCAAGTCTGTTCATTTATCATCTAACTTCTTAATTATGTTTAATATACTTAGTTGTATCTCTAAAATGCCTGCATTTCTGAGGGGTGTGCAACAGGAATGCACAAAATGGCTGTTTTTGTAAAAGACATTGTTATATGAAGTCATCCTTTCATTTGTACATATTTCTTGGCACTAGAGCTCAATGAGGGTGTTCAAAATACCTTGTTTATTTTAAGTAACTTTTGCTAAGAAACAGTAGAACACCTACCTGAATTTATGCAGCCAAACTTTGTTTGCAGATGCATCAATGTAACTGAAGAGAGAATTTACCCACCCCTTACAAAGCTACTATAAACAGTATTTGTTGACACAATAAGGGCTGGAACTATACAGGTCTTGCTGAGTTACAACATGTAGTGTTAGCAGGCTGCATCTTTTAAGCATACTAATATTTGTTTAAAACAGCATTATTTTGTCAATAAAATATTCAAGACTGATATACAATAAAGTTGAAACCAATAGTTTTAATTTTTATTTTCAGGTCTGAAGTAGAGAGTACAAGCTTAGGTATGCTTTCTTAATGATAGTATATGGCTGAAAGCTGTCAGCTGCTCACATGGCATATTAATAAATATACCCAAATCATAAAGCTTTAACTGGTTTTGCACATTGCTTTTATTACTAGACTGTTTTATTCATGTTGGCACAGATAATCCATGCAAGGTAATTACTCACATCTCATAAACCACCAGACATTCTGTTCTGAAATAACTAGGAACTCAGGAAAAAATATCAATCTAAAAGCAAGGGCACTTGTGGCATCAAGTCAACATGTCAAAATCTTATAAAACCTAGACTTCTAATATATGATCACTGCAGGCAATAAATCACTCAGTTTCAAATTCTGATGTTTATAAATACTAAACAAATTAATATCCACTACCAGGAGATGAGTATTGCAAACAAACCATTAGTGTGCCCAGCATTAGACACTAATGAACGTGTTCAGTGCTGTGGACATTCACATTATTAAACATAAATACAAGTAATCTTCAGCCAAACATTTCACCCAAAGTACTGACCGCTGAAGGAGCAATGGAAAAATATTTTTCCTTGTTTTGAATTGGTTTTAGTATTGAGAATTGTATAATGTGTGAATCCAATATAGTGAAAACTAATGAAAAAAAGTTCTAAGACTGGGGGTTTTTTGTGCAGATAATAAAAGTAGCTTCATTTGGAAACATTTACTTTGCCCTGTTCTGCAAAAAGAACATCAAAAGAGAGAAAAGCATTAAAAAAATCTTTTGAATCTTTTGACTGAAAAGTTATTGAACACATTTTAGTTAGACAAAAGACTGATATTTTTAATTGATCATTCAGAGGTACAGTATCTTTGTTTTATTGAGTAAAACCTCACATTAATTAGAATGAAAAGAAATATTCAGAAGAACTTAGGACTTATCTCAGGCATCTCTTACAAGACATAAAAACATAATCAAGTACACATTATTCATCTTGCATATTTTTGTACAACATTATTTTCCATGATCATTAAAAGGCTGTATTTTGAATTTTAGAGATATATATTATTATATATATATGCATTTTTCCCTCTTCATATCACAAAGTGATGTAGCAGAAGAGTATCAGCAGTTATGTGGTATTCTACCCCTGTGAAAGTTAAAATGCTACATTATTATTCACAAATTCCTTGTTCAGATATGTGCAAAAATTATATCTTAATATAGATATCAAGGGCAGGTACGTGGATTCCCTATTTTTGGACCACATTATGAAGCAGCACAAGTCATAACAGGAAAGTTTTATAACATGATAATCCTCAGGGTATCTCTGTTCTTCACTCAGAGATATCGCTGTACCTCATATGTAAACTAGCTTTAATCTCACTTGCTCAGACACCAGCTGGAGTCAGGGCATGTGCTACAGTGCAGGCTCTCTGCCCAAGGAATTCTTCAGCACTCTCTCTCTCAAGCCACTACAGCTCCCGCTGAAGTCTGTGCTGCTGCACTTTCACTGCTGCCACCCTGCCAGCCAGCTCAGCTCTGCTCACATTCACTGCGTTCCCTCTCCTGCAGTCCAGACTTCAGAGGTACCAGATTGGATCCTTGCTCACCCCTCTGTACACATCCAAACCATCTCTCTGGGCTGTGGGAGCTCCTTGTACCCTGGTTTCATACTTGAAGCCCTCTCCCTGACTGCAGTGATCCTGCTGCCCCTGCCCAGCCTCCCTGCCCACCCAGCTCTGACATGCACTGTGGGAGCTCACAGAGACACTGAGGGGAGGTGGAGGGGAGAATGAGACACACACAAATAAACACATGCAGATCAGAGGGGAAGGACCTCATGAAATTCTCCTGAAGTGTCCATCACAAGGCCTTCCCATGGAGCCTGACTCCCTATTCTGATGTTGCAGTCAGAGATTAGTCCCAGTCAGTGGCCAACACTGACACAAATCTGCCTAAAGAATATCTTCAATGCAGTCTCAGTATAGAGTATGCTGATGTGAATTCTCTCAAATAAGAGATAACAATAAAAAGCATTTTGTGAATGGCACTGAAAAATGAAAAGGAAATGTAGAATTTTCTCACTGTTATGAATATGTATTGAACAAAGTCAAATAGGAGTGGAAAAAAATATTTAACTTCCATAATTATGATTTATTCCTCTGGAGAATATTATGAGCCAGATCTTTGGATTCTGTAATCTATGGAACCATATTCACACCAGCCCAGCACCAACTGAAAACAGAAAATTTGCTTGCTTACAGAAAAAACCCAAAACAAACAAACAAACAAGAAAAAGGCTTTGCATATAATGTACTAGTGTTCTAGAATAATTCATGCATACAAAAATCTGACCCTGTAGCAACTCGGATCAGATCACTGCTAAGATCAGTGAAAACTAAGATACCTACTGAATAAATACAGGTCATACATGTCAAAACTGCCACAGGCAGTTCAGGTTGTTATTTTTGTCCAAGATGCAGACTGCCTGCAGCTAACTTAACACTTATTTTAAAGCTCCAAATTTCATTTATTCCTCCCCAAGCTTTAGATAGTTTTTCATCCCTTAAAAGACACACAAATGAAATGGTCATAACCCATGGGAGGGACACGACAGACAATATTATGTAATTTTTTGCTACTCAGAACACAAGGTAAAATAGGTGCAGATGGCACCAGCATGTGGCCCACAGAAAGCATCCTCAGCCTCAGAAGTACTAATTCAAAACTGTCAGTACTGCAAGCTGTCAACACACACATCATAATTCTCACTTAAATGAGTTAATAAAGCTTGAATGGTGATCAGACTTTCCATCTTAAATCCATCAGACAGAACTGCTGTCTCCCATATAAAAGTCACTGATATTCAACAATTCAAAAGTATTATCAGTACTATAAGTATTGCTTATTTGAAAAAAGAGTTTTATAAGTAACTGTCTGAACAACTTGAAAGTTGTTCTCAAGAGATTAGGATAGATGACTGTATGGTTTTTAGAAAAGATGACTGTATAGTAATCCTAATTGTTGGAACATAGCTACTGTTTTCCAATGGCAAATACTGCTACAATTCATGATGTGCTGCATTTACAGTAAGGAAAGGAATAAGGAGAATGTGCCTGCTGCCTTATGGATTTTTGATACACATTCATTTACTATAGGAAAAAAAAGCCTTTTCCTATTTATGTGGGATAGAGGAGGGAATTTTTGCAAGCTATCTCCCACAACCTAGCTGTGCTAGATGGATGTGTTTCTTTTGTGTTTACTATTGTGAAGGTCCAGATGTAGGTTCCTACCTCCCTCTGGTATCAGTGGGAATTAGAAACCAAAGCAAAATTGAATCTCTTTTTTTTTTCCACAGGAGGAAAGGAAAACTGGTTTTGAATTAAAAGCTGGCCTTTCCAGTCAGCTCTATTCCATTCAATGTAAGAGTAATTTGGAGAAAGCCAGTTGTCCTTTTCCATTACCATTTGAAAGTGAATTATCTGCTGTGCACCTAGAAGCCAAGTGCACTAACAAGGCTGACCCAACCATTTTATTTTCAAACTGTTATGGATTGTCACCTAGGCTTCCCAGCTACATATGGATTCAAGGCAGACTTGTTATTTGGAAAGAATCTAAAATAGCTGATGCTATGAGGCAGCACCACAAGATAGTGGAACAGCACTCACTTTTCCTAGAGGAAGCCCTAATCTATTTATTTCCCTTTGAAAGCTACGGCCTTTGGTTCTACAGATGACTGTACATATGGCACTTACTCATTCTTGCTGTGAAAGAAAATGACTTAATACAGAAGTATTTTTCCGGTTGTTTTTAAACACCAGTGTGTGGTCTAAGCAGTAAAACTGCTGTGGGTAGTTAACTTGAAACTATATTTGCACATTACTTTTTATAATCATGCTTTTAGTTAATTTCAATATTTCCCCCAACTGTTGCTATAATAATGGACTAGTTCATGGTTTTGACTGCTCATAGTTTTTGGTATGAACTTCACAAAAAGCACGTTCTGCATTTATGAAAGAGGATAAAGTTAAACTTGAGAAGTACCCATGTCTAGCTTTTACCGAGAGAAGTGCTAGCCATGGTTATCAGCTTTATGATTGCCCAGTTAGTCATCTGTTTTACCCCAGCATTACTGACTACAACTCTTCTTCTAAACATTGATGGCATGGGCATGCTTCTTGCACAGGGGCTTGTCCTTCTTGGAGTAGAATGGCTGACCTTCCAAATTCACATGGCACACCTGGAATTAATAATAAATGCAATCAGGAATAATTAAGGAAAAATAAAAGGGAGAAAGATGTGACTATCAGTTGTAAATGTATTGCTCTTCTGCCCATGCATTTTTTTGGTAGTCTTTAGAAGTCATGTATTGATTTGCTATTGACTTAACCCACTGAAAGAAACCAAGTTAGGTCCTTAAAAAGACCCCCACTGTGAGAATTGCATATTAACAACACATAATAAAACTATCATTTCCACAGCAAATGGGACAGCTAATATAAATGAACAAGCAAAAAAATAACATGAAATATTCAGAGAAAGTGTCTTTGTAGTAATCAATATTTATAAGTGATTAAGAGCTGTTAGCTTGTGAAGGAAACTTGTTTAGTATTCCTTTCTATGTTAAAATTTCCAAAATACTTCAGTTTTCACAAAACACTTTTTTATAAAGCTAGTTTAACTTCAGATATTTATAAACATTTCTATACTTTCAACTAGTCTACCTAAATTTTAGACTTAAACAAACATTAGAAATTGTTGCTGTCAGTTTGGTGTGGCCCACATACTATTTTTAGCTAATTAGAGATTCTAGATATTATTACTTTAGGAATAATATGCTGCAAAGCTGCTCAGTGGTATTAGAACCAGATGAAAGTACTGTTTATCATATGGATTTTTCTGCTTTGTGTGCAGAGTGTGGGAATATGGCCACTCTCCAGAGCTATGTGCACACCACAGATTGATGAGTTTGACCAACTTCTATGCTAATTACTATTCATGCTCTCTAAACAGACTTCTTTTTGCAAGTTTCAACAAGCATTCAGCATGGAAATACAAACTTCACTGCTTTGTAAGTAAGATTATGGTTATACTGTTCAGTATGGTGTTAATTTATTTCCAGTCTTGCTCTATCTCTATTTGGCAAACACTGGAAAGACTAACAGCATTAGTGGTTTGTACTGCTGTATGTACTATCTAAAACTGGATGTTTTATTAGAAAACACTCACTTATGATGGTCAAATTCCATAATTCTAGTAAAAGTTATGGAGGAGAAGGAAAATTACTCCAAATGGAAGTAAAGAATGAAATTTCATCCCTCTGCATCCTTAAGCATATGTTAGTTATTACTGCTTTCAGGTTTTCTGATGTTACTACACAATTTAGGAGTATAAAGGAATGAGATAGTATTTGATGTAGAACCTACAGCACAAATGAAGCAGGTGTCATGCCAAGTGTGTCCAAGAGCTTCAATGAATTTATCTCCAGCTTCAACAGGATAATCACAGCCATGACATTTTGTGCTGAACAAAGCAATGTAATCTAAAATAAAACAAAAAGCAAACTTAGAACAAACTCTTAACATAATCATATTAAGTCCAAAAGAAATAGAACTTTTCCAGACAATGAATGTTTTGATTGTTTTTGCTAAGTTTCCTACTACATTTACTGAAATACTCCCACTGAAACATGCTTATTTTCTTTCATTATTTAAATACAAACTCAGTCCAGAACCCCCCATTAGTACGACATTAATCATCAAAAATGTAGAAGAAGACATACAAAAAATCCATAGAATTTGAAGTTGTGTTGCTCACAATACTTTCAAATTAGCTTTAATATATGTGGAATTTATTCATAGGACAAATATGGTTGTACAAGAGTCTAATGACAAGGGAATGTTACAAGTTTCCATGCCTGTATTAATGTTCTTTTTGCATAAAGAGAGAACATTATGGAAACCCCATACTGACTGATTAACACATCTTTACTTTATCAAGTGTGATTTGGAAAGGTTTCACATTGAAAAATATTCGTGGAAATTCCAAAGGAATACGGAGTCCATGAGAGGTATTTGATGTTCTGACAAAACCTCCAGTTTTAAAGGGTAGGTACCCAGTCAGTCATGCTGCGTGGTTTTTTGTCTTCACTAAGAGCTACTGTGACTTGTAAAATTTGAATTGCATAGCCATAAGAAAAGAATCTCCAGAGAGAAGTAGGCCAGGACCTCAGTGAATGCACAAGGGGAATACAGAGAGAATATACCACTTAACTTCCTTCCTATGTCAGGCAACTCATTTGCACGGCAAGCACCATTTTGGGAAAACATGGCCTTTCCCTTTCTTAGGTGGCAAGAAGCAGTTTGTTTGTTGCAGCAGCCAGGAAGCAAAATCTGCACCACCATGTGCTGCACATCTGTGCAGATCTATCTCTTCATAAGTGTTGGTTGAACAATTCTAGGGTGAGGCAACAGCACCAGAGGTCACAGCTCCAGCAACTCAGGATTGCGGGCAGTCCTAGAAGACTAATTTTGTATTTCTGGTGAGCAGCATCTACCAAGGAGGGGAGTGCAACAGGGAAAAATGTGTAGGGAAGGAAGTGCAAAGTATGATAATACATAAGGGAGAGAAGTGAGGGAAGGCATTGTGGACATTGAGGCAAAGACCAGTGCTCTGCCATTCTCTCAATATAAACTGAAGAAAAAATACAGACCCAAACACTTGTATATGTGGAAAGTGGAAACAAAATCCATGCTGGATGGGGAACTGATATTATTTTGTTCACCAGCTGCTTTATTCTTACATGCTTCCATGAACATGAAGCACACTATTTCTGTGCAGAACTGCCCAGACTGCCATACCTTTCTCACAGTAGGGCTCCCCATCCTCCATGTGGAACAGGCTATTCCCAAATGGCTTCTTACAAGCAGCACAGACAAAGCAACTTGTGTGCCAAGTCTGTCTTAGGGCATGCATCACTTCCTGTAAAACAAACAAACAAATAAACAAAAATCTCCAGCAGAATAGCCAGCCTTGCAACTTCCTCCTGGAGAACAAACACAGGGCAGAGATGCTCTAAATTCTTCCTTTCTATGTCAGCCATTTCCCCTCCTCAAAAGAAAGAATTATGACAAAAATTTGGCTTCTTCTGGAAAGAAAGAGGAAATAGGACTGCAAGCTTTCTAGAACAATGTACTTGCCAAAGTGAAACAACATGGTTCAGCCAGCAGTTTGTATCAACATGCCCAGTCCCTGTTGCAGGAGGGATTCTGCACAAAGATTCTGATTATTTTCTCCATGACCGGTATGAACTCTTCAATGCAAGAGTATGAATTGTTAAATAAATTTCAAAGAGTAATTTTCTAAGACCAGGAATAAGTGGTGTAAGTCTGTTGTTTCAAAACAATCCAGATTCTGTAGTAATTTCTTTATGCTTCTTACAAGAGCAATTCACTAACTAATGTAAAAATCTAAAAGAAAAAAATAAAATAGGAAAGATTCTTTTAACTTATATGATTAGTAAAAATGAGTCTGCATGTCTGTTTCTAAGCCACATGTTTACCACAAAAAAACCCCAATTCTGTGCAACTGATGTTCTCCTCAACCGAGTACATCCAGGTTTTATCAGCTTCTTACTTCTGTGCAGTATGGAGAAATCTCTATTACTGCTTCATTCTTTTGTCATACAGAAGTCTTCCAAGTCCTGGAAGCTGCTGTACTGGGCCCTGATGCACAGTTACCTGCTAATTTGTCAATCTTATGTGTAGCCAGGATGATGTTGGACAGTGCATCTCTGTCCAACAGCCCAGATTTCAAAGGGCCAGCTGCATAACTGCTGTGAATTAACTTTGTTAACTTCAGTGAAACAGCATTGATTTATACCAGCTGAGAATCTAGATCCTATTTTATGTTGTTTCCAATTATACACATAGACTCTGATTGTCTTTTAAAGATTGTTTTTAATGTCCATTGATTATGAGAAAATGGATTGAAGTCCTCTTCCATGCTTTCAATCCAGTGAATAGACAAAACAGTCTAATTTAGATTTGCCATATATCTCATTAGAGAATCACCATTTGAGATTCATTAACTTCTGTTACTGTTTGCAAAACAACTATTGCTGATAAATAGGTTTGGATCCATTTAGGAACCTCAGTGAGGTAAGACACAAAAATAGCTTGAGAAATCTTATTAATATGAATAGAGGCAGCTGGCATCTTTGCTATTTTCCTGATGAAAACCCATAATGGGAAACTGATTTGTGCCAGCATTCATTAGGTAGGTTAAGTCAGCACTCTGCTATAAATTACTCCTTCTGCTGCAGTAGCAAACAAGACTTGGTTGGAGCCAGAGCTTCACCATCAATGTCTGATGCTGCCACCCCTAACTGACAGTTGCAGAGAAGAGCATCTGTAATGCCAACATTTAGACAGATGTCAAAAGGTGACAGCTAAGCAGTGAAAAACCAGTGGGGGACTCCTTGCTTCTTCATTTGAGCCATACATTCACTACAACTGCATGCATAAACACACTGATAAAATCATTGATGGCACTCCAACCACACCACCATCTGAGGTATGTGGAGAGCAAATTAAATTGTACATTTACTTGTACATTAGTCCTTTAAGACAAAAGTGGCATGTATTTTTGGCTTTGTGGAATTCAGATCTTTGTAATTATTCTGTATTTTCTTAAGTATAAGAAACCAGCAGAATTCGTCAACAGCTGCGCTGCCAACTAACAGTGAGGTGAAACAAGAGCAATGGACCTCTTCCCATCATCACTGATTTCTCTACTGAAATTTTGACTAAATCCTGAGTAAGGAACAAAAACCCAGTTCAAGTGTCTTACTATAAAGAAGAGAGAGATAAAACTAACATAGTGTGTATCAGAAAGCAAAAACCTATCCAAAAAGTATTACTAATTTTACACTCAGAGAGATGGTACCTGGATTACATATTCCATCTATGAGCTCAATAAGGTACAGAAATATCCAAGACTTCTGATGGAAAAAAATTATTATAAAATAATATGTTTCTCATTATGAAATAATCAACAAGCTGGGGAATAAGTCTTAAAAGGATGAAATAATAAAACATCTGCATTCACTGCTTACAGTCTAAACTATTTCACTACTTCAGGGATCCAGGCAGTTGCAGAAAGGGTTACTGTTGTTCTCTTACCCCCATAATCTTAGTGTGGCATCTGGCACAGGTTGGTGCAAAGAACTGTTCATAGCAGCGCTCACAGTACACACTGTTCTGCTCCTCCACAAAGCACATGTCAGCCAAGGATGTCTTGCAGTAAGCACAATTGAATTCTTCTGGGTGCCAAGAGCGACCCATGGCTACCAGGAAAGGACCTCTGGAAACAATCATAATTTATTTGTAATCTTGTTTAATCTTACTTGTACTGTGAAAAAAAAGTTGAATGGCTGACCCTGATTGCAAACCCACTTTCTCAGACACCATGAACACACGTAAAAAGCTACTTGAACCATGAAGTGCATATTAAAATAATCTGAATAGAAGCGGTCTTTTTCAAGACCATTACTCAAAACATGTTGGTTAAAACATTTCATTATTGTTTGATCTCATACACTGCATTTACAAACAACTGTTGAAAAAATCCATTGTTTTCATATCTGCATAGCTGTAAGTGGTCTTTGTAAGCAGAAGCAAAGACAAAAGGAAAAGGCCAAAGGCAACAGAAGACAATGCTACTATTTGAAAGCATGAAATAACAGGCAAATTTCCATCCTTACACACCCACACCTCACAATAACTCCTAAAGTCTCCTACCTTCTTTCTGTCTGACAGCACTGCATGCAGCATGTTCTAGAAATGTCAGACTATCAGGTGACAACTTGCTGTTTTGTTATGTGGAAGACACATTAAATTCATTTTGGTGATTGACTCTGGTGATTGTAGTTAGATATAGTGATTATTACTGGAATATTTCCATTCCAGAATATATGAAGGGCAATAATCAACAGTTCCACATCACTAAACTAGCTCCTTTTAGTGGGGAAGACTGTCATTAAACATGGATTACTTAAAGTTGGAGAGCAGTGCACAGGCTAACAGTAGGCGCTGGTCCAGCAGAATGAATTGGGAGAGAAGGGAGAGGCATGCTATGAATCACTGGTAATAGAGTGTAGGCATTATCTTTCTCCAGACACAAAAGCAACAATTACATTTGGCTGCTGCTCCAAAATGATGCCTTGTTTCATTTCTCTCCACAATCCCCCCTCTGCTCCCAGCCCCCTGACTCTCCCAATGAAGTTGCACGAACCTCCTTCAAAGAGTTACCTTAGCACCAGAAACCTGTTTAAAATCAAGCAGGGATTTGCTGCAGTATCCAAGAGCCAAACAATTAGCATGTATAGCGCTGCAGTGATAAAAAGTGAACCACACAACAACAAAATGAGCTCTGGAAATGTTAAATTAATGAGGCAGACAACAGACATCCCTGCTGGATAATTTAACAGAGTCTTAGGCTCTGGAACTGTATATTAATGTACAATAACCAGTCTCTCTGATACTTTTTTTTCTGCTTCATCCCTCTCCAAAGGCCCATGACCTTACCGAATGATGCTGTTGCAGTGCCCGCAGAGAGGAGTTCGGCTGCTGGCTGGAAAACGCTCCGCCCTCTGCACTGTTCCCCGGGCCAAGGCAGGGGGCTGGGAAGGAGGTGAAACTGGAGACGGGTAAGCAGGAATTGTGGTAGGAGACAGCACCGGAGCACCCCTTGGAAGGATGTGCTTTGTGACGGTGGTGGTGGATTTTCCAGGTGCAAATTTCTGGGAAAAGGAGTCATCTGTTACCCAGGGGGGGCGACTCGCAGGCTCCGTGTTGGCAGGGGTGTAGGAATGAACTGGTGCTGGTGCTGTTTGAAGTATTCCAAAAGAAACCAAGAAAGATTTTAAAGGCTTTTTCTTCTACTGTCAATACAGCAACACTTACCAAAGGGCACTCCATGACACAGATACAATAAAAGCTTTAGGTGATAGTAATTATGGCCTATCTCATTGTTGCTCATTTATTCTGGATTGAAGTCAAGGATATCAGCACAATCACTGACTTCTCATACACATGCATTACAGAAATCATTGCCTACTGGCTTTTACAGATTTTATGGAGACCACTGTCAAGATCATCTCTTCATTTTCTTGAAGGAATGGATATGACAATTGTGTGATAATGTCAAAGACTGCCATATAATCTGTTTAAGACAGGTTAAAAATATAAAAGCCAGATAATATAGTAAAGTTTTAGATAGAATTCCCCAGAATTTCAGTAAGTTATGCTTAACTTTTGATCTCATTATATTAATTAAAATACAGTATGTTCTACAGATGTCACTGTTATGTATCATTTGGAGGTTTATTCCTAGGTTTTTGAAGAAAAACAAGCTCCCACAGGGAAAACAGAGAGCACTGGAAGCAATAGTGAGGGAGCCAATTCAGCTCACATGACCAGCAAGATAAAGCCAACAGCACTTAGAGGAAGGCCAGTCTTGTGGTTATGACTGATCTCAGTTCAGTTCTTGGCTCTGCCACAAACTTCCTGTATAACTCTGAGCAAAGCAGAGAGTGTCTGCGCCTCAGTTCCTGTGTGTAAACCAGAATATTATCCTTTCTCTCTTCCACCCTTTGACTAGCACATAAAACCCTCAGTGCAGTCTCTGTGTTTGTGTGCACCAGGCTCTAATCTTGGGTGGAGTTTTATCACATTAAAATAAGCAGGAGCCAGGGCCTGCACATACTGACAAGTTTTCCCATTATTCTGCTCCTTTCAAAATGCCAGATCTTGCATTATGTAGAACTGAAGTTACTGCCCAAGAAACAGCCTCACTTTGCCAAGTACAGGAGCACTAAAAGCAGTTTCCCTTTGCAAGGAAAACAAAGCAAATGATTGAAAAGAAGCTTGGAGAGCTGAAGTGTTTTGCCCAAATGAGAGAGCACAGGCTTGGGAACAGAAGCCAGTTCTCCAGAAGTCTGGGCAAACATTCCACACAGTATCCCAGCACCAAGAAAATCAGAGCCAAATACAACTTGTACAGGTTTAAGGGGCTTGCAGGCAGAAAGGTATTTCAGCCAAGAGGGTTCTGAAAGTAACATGGATCTTTCTGAATAATTAAGTGGTGAGAAGTTTGTGATCGACTTAACACCGCTTCCTCAGCCCACACCCTGCCACATAATAATTTCCACTGATTATTGGCAATTTGCAAGTGCTTAAATTGCATATATATCAACGCACTGTGATCACCCTGGGATCTTTTTATTGAGGTCAGAGTTGAATCTAGTGCATTTTCCTGATAAAAATTTCTTATGGTACAACATCAGCAATGTTTCTGCTTCATAAAACTGTATCCCACCTTAGCTTGAGGCTTCTTCTTCTTTTTTTTTTTTAACTTGGAAATGGTAAACAGTATTTAAAGATTTCAGAACAGAGTTTATATGCAATCTCTTTAGATCCTGAGGCTCTTGCCATTTATGCATTATGGTATTAAGATAGGCAAAATTAGAAGTTAATATTTAATCTCTAATTGATGAGTTCATAAGGCTTCCACCTATGAGGCTAATTAAACAAGGTGACTTCAGCTCACATAATTACATTCTCTCTACCTTCTACTTCTTTTCATTCTTTCTTTTCTATTTGCTGCAGTAAAATAAAGAAACAGAAAAAAGAGAAGCAAAATAAAACAACTGAATAGGATTTTTTTCCAGCTACTAAAATAAAGTACCAGAGCAATTACTGCTAAATGACAATTGCTGGATGTTTGCATCTGCTGAGTTCTCTTTTCAGCTGTTAAAATTTAATTTTACAGGCCTGATTTATTATAATACATTTTCATCCTGTGAACAAGCTGCAATTACTATTGCTTCAAAATAGTATCAGTGCAACATATTAGAAAGATTTCACTAACTCTGAGATTTTAGCAATTGTTATTAAAAGGGAATTATCTTATTTTCTTAGAAGTACATCCCTCCCTAAGCTTATATGAACAATTCTTTTGTCTTAGTAGCTACTGTCATACATATTCACTTTGAATGTTTATGTATTTCAAAAAGTCTTCCAACACTAGAGAAGAAGGAGAAAAAAGGGGTTGTTTGCAGCTAAAAAAAGTATTAAGATTCAGTATATCAGAGAATATATTCTCAAAATACCAGTATTCTATGAGTTGAACATTAACTATTAAAAAATGAATACTTCAAATAATTCAGCAACTTAGCCTCTATCACCTTGTTTCTCTCAGCCCTCATGTTCTCTTAGAATAGGAAAGAATGAATGGCATTATTGTTTTGTTGTTCTGAGAGAATGGCAGAAGAGATCTCTCTAGCAGGAATAGGAACAAGCCAATTCCTTGCTCCTGGGAAAGCTGGAATTCTCTCTCTCAGCTCTTCATTTATGGCCTGTGGCTATTTTCTCTCCAGACAAAGGCACATTACCAAGACTCATGTAGTAAAGCAAAGATTTATAGAGTCTCAAACGCTTTGGTCACACAGACTTGCACTGTGAGAACATTTTTTCTTTTTTTTCCCCCTTTGTTAGTAGATGACGTAAGTGTTACTCTTTATTATTATCAGTAACAAAATAAATTAATAACCACAACTGATATGGTTTGTTCTACACTTAGCGGCCACATCCTTGAATCTCAAAGTTTTCCATATACTGTTACAGTACAGAGCAGATGGCAGAGCAGATGATGTTTTATAGGGAGACACTACTCTTATTTATGGGAACTAAAAATGAAAGAATGGTGTGGAAGCTGCTGTTTTAGTATTGAAGGTGCTTAGGATTCGATATAAAGTTCATTAAGAACTGTGGGAATCTCTCTAGCAATTCCTCAAAGAGCAGATCAGGCCTTTACACTTGACCGATTTTGCATACACAAGTAGGTCCGTTGGACGTAGGGATTTAAAAGGAAAGATCTGCTTTCTTGCATTTAGGCATCGTGTTACTTCGTGGTACAGAAGTGGAGCTGGAGCTGCTTGGGATACTGAAAGGCTGTGCTGGTCTGGGAGTGCCTGCGGGAAAGGAATACCCGGGCATGTTCTGCCATCTAGTGGGCCTTGCTCAGAAGAGAAGCCTTTAAAACACGGGTTAGGAAATTTAGGGAGAAGATTTCAGAGTTCCCAGCTTTCTCTACTGGAAAAAAACAAAAGATCTTTAGCAGCAGAAAATTTCCTGAATTAGGTTAGGGAAAGTGCAGACTGCCTGATAAATCCCATCTGAGCCTGATATTCAACAAAGCAGTTTCATTTTGAGACTTGTTTCAGTTTGTTTGGGTTTTATTTTCAATCGGACATGAAAATAGCCTTGTAAACCCACTCAATGACTGATCAGGAGTCTCTGTATTGAATATATGAGCCTGTTGGTTGTTGTTTTAATCTGGAAGCTGCTGCCTCACATTTCCAAAGGAAGCCAGTCATGGGCAAAGTTGGATGAGGAAGTTTTCTAACTGTCCTGGTGGTTTGTTTCTAAGTACTATTGATTTTCCCATCTGTGACAGGGAATGCTATTTCCTCCATTTCTTCTCAAGTGGCAATTTCCCATTTGCTCTGCAACTGTCTCTGAGGTCAGCTCATGCTCCAAAACCACTCTCAAGTGCTACTACATCAAATACATAACACTTACATAGTACCAACACAAGAACCAAACATCTTCCCTGAAATCTCTGCCTGGAACCTCTCTAGTACCAGAGTCACTTCAGGATTCAATGATTATATTTCAAACTTCTAAACAATACAGGAGGACTTTTTCTTTTTCTGCCAACTATTTAAGCCTTTATTGAGAGGCAACGAGGCTCAAAAGCAGCAACATAAGGAATTGCAAAGGAACACCAGCAATGTAAGGAAGTGAAAAGAAGATGCCCAAACCAGGAGAAAACAAAAGCCTTTCCTCAATTCCAAGTAGAATTCAATAGCCAGCTTTGACTTTACCAGATCCAGCCAATTATTGGAAATAGCTGCAGATATATTTCTGTGGCAGGTTTGTGTATTGAACTGGAGCTTATACTTCCCCAAATGAGCACAGGGCTTAACATCAGTCAGTGTATTTAGGAGATATTTTGACTTGCCAGAGTTTGCTCTCTTGTGCATGATAGAAATAAATCTGCTGTCATCATTTTTTTAAGTCAAAACCAATAGCATTTGCCTTGAGTGAGAACATGGTATACCCTGGTGCACTTAACCAAAAGCAAGTGAGGAGGAGCTGAAGGTTTATTTATTTTGAGACCCTTAAATAGCTCATGAGAGCTCTGACTTGACTTTTTCTACCTTTATGTCTCAAATATAAGGATCAATTGATTTGTCTGCTTTATGTCTAACTAAAATTCCTACATTTGTTTAATTTCAGTAGATCCAGAAATAGAACATTACAGAAGACAGAGCTTAAGGCTGTTAGAGTTGTTGGCCATTTCATGTTTACTTGACTGCAAAGATATAAATCAACTTTTAATTCTCTTACTAAGATCAGAAAAACCTTAATTTGAAACAGAACTGCCTTTACACTTATATTGGTGTCTCATTCAATTAATTCAGTTTGAAGGTTCACATTTTGGTCATCAATGGTTTTAGAAGCTCAGTCCATTGTAACACATTAATACCAAGGGAATTTAGATAATATCAAGGAGCATATTTTCCACATGAATGAATAACCAAATATATTCCTTAAGTTACTGTCTCTGGGAAATGGAATAGCATCATGAGATGCTTAAATACCTCATTCTTTATTTCAAATATAAGCCTAAGTTTGAGAAATTAAATATATGGTCTTACCTATTTTGCAAATATAACCTACTCAAGCAAACTCCACTTATTTTACCACCTTCCTGAACTGTGCATTCTTTTTTTTAGCCATTTTCTCAATTCTGTAGTGTCACTTGGCTCCTAATTGGATGCACTGTGTTATTTTTCAAATTTATTTCTTCTGAAAAATCAGACTACATATTTTTTATTAGACTTTTCCCTTGCTTTTATTTTACCCTCTGTTTGTTTCACATTTTAACTCTGAAGTAGAATACAAATATAACATAATCCTCTATCTTCAGATAATCTGAGGCAAAACTAGCAACATTTAGACCCACATGAATAAATACATTCTGGTATATCTGTGTACAAAATATGTGCTTTCTACATTTTCTTTTTCCAAAAGAAATGTGTGAGCATTTTTTTTTTCTGAATCTTTTCAGTACTTTGAGGGCTCCTTACCTGGCTGGTAGACAGAGGGCTTTATGCTGGCAGTAGTAACAACTCTCGTTTTTGAAGCGGCAGAAGGAGCAGGACTTTCGCTGTAGCCTCCAGAAACTGGCATTGGTGTATATGACTGGGTTGTGTTTCTAAAAGCAAAATGGAGGTGTGAACAACTTTATACACAGCAAAAGTTACTGATCACGAAGTAACAGAACTGGCAGCATCCAGAGCACTCCAAGAGAGAATGCTGGGAGATTCATCAGTCTTTGTTTGTCACTGCTAAGGAAGGCTTGGAAAATTATTTGGAAAGAAAAATTAGTCAAATAAGGATTTTAAGTAATGGCAAGTTTGCTGCTGTTGTCATCACAGAAAATAGCTTGCTGAGGGAATATGATAAATTTGAAACTCTCAATAACAAGGGATCAGACTTCACAAAGCTGCATAAGAAGTTTGTGTTTTCTGCTCCTCTGCAAACAAAAAGGCCTGGTCTTGTCTAAGATAAATCAATGAGTTACATGTGGACGTAAAAATATACTTGTTCAGCATAATTACTGCTATTACAAATGCTAATTAGTATTTATATACTGTTACAGTATTTTCAAAAATATTGAAGTAATATTTAAAAATTTTTCTGAAACTAACCCTTTTCCCTATTTAGACTGAAAAATTTACATTAATTTTCCTATTGTTCACATTCATCCTTCAGAAGAGAACCATACAATATGCAATACTATGATGCACTTTCTTGCAGTCCTAAATAAAAACATTTGCTCAGGATTCCCAACATCGGTAAGAATGAGTTTTTCCTCTATCTTATGGCTTAGATGGTGATTTTCAGTTTGATTACAGCAACAGATTAAAAAATATGCCTCTTCTATCTGCCAGTTACTTGGGATGATTGTTTGTAGTGCCTGTGCTTCAGTAGCCTGACTGCTAAAAGAGCATCAGAGTCAAAGCAAGCAGGAGAGAATAAAGAAGTAAAAGGAAGGGAAGCAACAGATAATGAGATGTGTGCAGTAGGAAAAACCTACTCAACTACAGAACATCCTTCTCACTCACCCTGGAAACGGTGTTGTTTGTTTTTTCCCTTCAGTGTCACTCCCCCTATGAAGTAGATCCCTATCTATTTGTGCTGACAGCTAATGAGTTATTTCCAAAGTGGGTTTGTCTGTAGGAAAACATTTCTCAGCATATGAAAAGAAGCATCCATCTTTCCCAGACTATTGGTCCATCTTTACTTTACTTTATTTAACAGTGGAAACAGATGCCATCTGGAGAAAACACGTTATAATCTCACATGGCAAACCCAGCAGATTTCATCCAGTACAGGTAAGAAACGTTCTGAGGAATGGAAACTTTCAATTTTTAATTTTGAACAAAATAAACCTGTCCTCAATGTAGCTTTTTGCTGCTCTGACAGTGTTTATACTATAGATTTAGTTTGCATAGCATTTCTGCCTCAGGCTAATTTATTTTGTCAATGAAGCAAGACCTAGAAACTTAGCTATTGCTACAATGGCTAGAGCTAATTATTTCTGTACCTAGTCTGGGGCTTAGGCCTGCATTTGCGTCCATTGTACCATGAGTGAAGACAACTCTCCAAGATAAACTATTTTACTGGGTTTGTATTCACTGTAAATTCTGTTGTGAAGCCTGCTGTGCTTTGGAACTGCCAAAGCTGTCCTAAGCACTGTCCAACTTTCTGGGTTCCATTCTTACCATCGATTTCCTGATGAGACCTCTGTGAGGTGCCTCAGAAGGCACTGTGCTCAGGATCACTGGGCAGAGGCCATTGCTGCTGCCATAGCACAGGGACACTTTGGCTTCACCCACAGCTTTCAAAATGCCATCAGCTAAACACCAGCTAAAGAATTGTCCTTGTTTTAAAATCTGATACTCAGGCTAAACTACACAGCTCAGTGCCCAGTATTTACAATGTGGGTTAAAAGATTTTAAAATTATGTGTTGCACTGCCTGAATCTGAAAATGTCATCCAGTCAGGAAAGTCTACTCCCAGATCCAATGGTTAGAAAGACTCATTTGAACCTCTCTTAGTGCAGAAAATAAACAAAGAAGTTCTGAACCAGATTAGTAATACTTAAACTGTCATGAAGAAAAATGGTTATTCAAAATTCAAGTGTTTCCCAAATATAATAGCATAGTAAAACCATACCACAGATTTCCTTGTGTTCAGGGAAATGAAGCTGAAAAAAACCCCAAAACAACACCCCCCTTCCCCCCACATTTATAGTACCACCAAAATCAAAGCAAAATTAAAAGAAGCACTGAATCCTTTTAACCCTTTTACACGTGTATGATGCATATTAAATACAGTAAGAAAGATAAGAAAGCTTATCAAAGAGAAATAAAGTGTTATACTACATCATTAAGGGTTTAGTGAAAGAAAAGATTTATCAAAATTTCTGCTGAAGAAAAGGAAATGGCATGTGATTAAAAGAATTAAAAGAAAAAAAGAAACAAGAAAGAAGGAAATTAAGAAAGAATAAAAAGATGTTGTAAGCACCAAAGATGCTTTAATGGATCAAGAAGCACTGGCATCTCAAAAAGCAGTGAAAGCAACCTCATTGAATTTATCTGTAGCAGTCAATGGCATGTGACAGGCAGCAAATTAAATACTGGCTCTGAAAACTATTAGTTGTCAGAAAAAGAAAGAGTAAATATTTCTAAGCAGATCATTTTTATGTTAACGCTTCACTAGATGCCTACTAGTAGCAATAAACTGGTTTGTTAAGTGCTTTTAAGGTAGAATAGCTGCACAAAACAGTTTGATACCTCTGCTTTGACTGGTAGGTGATGGAGGTGGAAGAATGCCGGTTGAAACTAAAATGAGACAAAAGGGGTATTTGAAAAAATATACACAAAAGATTGGGATATCTTGTCCTACCATGAATTTCCTATGAGTAAGAAGAGCTCTTAAATGCTGAAGTAAACAACATGTGCATATTTATAATTACATGAGTATTACATTACATTTTGTTTTCTTATTTAAGCTGGGAATCACAGTGACACCTGACGAGTGATAACATAAGTCAATGAGCTGAGAGCTCCGTAAGTCACTCTTATCTGATCTTGCTATTTGATTGTGGAACTCCAATTATTTTTATGAGCAGAAAAAAATACAAGGGATTTTTCTCAGTGACATGTTTACATTGCATCAAATCTGAAAAGCAAATCTTGAATGAACCAAAGGCCAAAGATCAGGGAAGTACGACAGCCTGTGAGCAGCTTGGACAACCCCATGGAAAGGACAGGCTGGCATAGCTGAAGCAGAAACAGCCACCCACCGTGTTCAACTTTTGTCTTGAAGAACCTTTCCATTGCTACAGTCTTAGGCAAACAGGTAGGTTTTTTTTTTCCCCTTGGGGAAGCAGTGTAATTTCAGAATATAAATGAGTCATTTATGCAAATACAGGAAGTACTTGAGAGCCTGCACAATGTACGATCTGAGAAACGAGAGGATTCAGAATGAAAAGAGCTCCTGCAGGGCAGTGCAGGGCTACAGAGCATCCATCCCACCCCACAGGGGCACAGCCCACATTTCCCAGAACCACCAGGAGTCTGCCTTATGCCAGTTATTTTCCTAAATTCTGGAGAAGATTTCTTCTTCCCTTTACCATGGACACAGTGCTTGGATAAAAACCCTGGATCAGAAGCTACACTTGGCTTTTAGAACCATAATTGTAACTCTTTCCATTGTTTCTCCTGGTTTTGTATTCCCAGAGTGCTGTTGCATGTAGCAGCCCGCTTTAATCCTCTAGATGGAATAACCCATCCCTGAAGAGCTTCAAGCTTATTCAAAACTCTCCTGCTGTGCTTGCTTCTTTTGAGTAAGATTGTAAGTGGAACAGATAACAGTAAGTCAGATTTCACTGCAGATGTAAAAGAGTAACACAATCTGTTAAAGGTTAGTGATGTACTTCAAACACTCCTCTTCAGGAACATGATCAAGATTTCACTCCTGTTATGTGTTATGCATATGCTCACAAAAGCTAAGTCACTAGAGAACAGGATCTACTAAAGCGTAAAATCAGATTTAAATAGTTAAGGATATTGATCAAGAAAGCCTCTCGCCTTTTCTTGGTGGAAGTTTTTAAAGAATCTAAAAGGGAAAAAAACATCAAACACTGGAATAATGGTGATAAAATCTCAGCCTCATCTACCTGAGGACATCCCCATCCTGTAAAACAGTGGTGTAATTATTTTTTTTTAATAAAATTATATTAAATGCTCAATATTCTTCTGGTACATGTCAAGCTAAAACTATATTTTTAAGTCTGTATTTTGGCATGCTAAAGCATTACTTGATTTCTAAATGAAAACTACCAGATGCCCAAAAATTTGAATTATAAATCAATTTAGAAGCCATTTTTATTCCCTTACATTTGAATACACTAGCTGTAATACACCTAATACACATTTTTAAGACATACATGGAAGAAGCGCACCAAGATAAAGAACCTATTCCAGCTGCAAGACAGCATCCAAAACCAACCAACCAACCAGAGTTCATTTCTCATACTTGATTATCAAGGAACCAAATTCCTACAGGTCCCACAAGTCTTTGATTCGCCCTTATGTGCCAAGACTTGTTGAAGCCAAGACAGCAACATTTGCCTGTCGGTAACAGGCAAGCAGATGACAGAACACACTTGTGTCATCCACTGACAAAGCAGCAGTGTATAAAGTTGATAGGCTGTAGATGTTTTAAATGTGGCCAGGTGCCAGCAAGAGGTTTTAGGAGTCTGATTCGAGCATTTCTTTTGGAAATGGACAGGTGTTTTTTATAGATTCACAGACCCTTTGATGCTGGAAGAGGCCTCAGGAAGAATCTGATCTAACCTGCTGAAAGCAAGGCCAGTTTTGAGGTCAGACCAGGTTTCTCCATGTTTTAGCCAGTGATGTCTTGAAAACTTTCAAGAGTGGAGACACAGCCTCCCCAGAAAAGTCACCTCCTTTCAAAGGGGCAGGAAAAGTAGCAATCGTCCATGGAAATCTAATTCACTCATTTACTTTCAATTCAAATGCCTCAATATCTCAATGTCATATTTCTTTTTATTTTCCTTGAAATTTTGTTTCACACTGATTAGTCCATGTTGGTACATAACTACAAATGAATTCATATGGTTTCAAGGCCTCACACTGCTTCCCTTCTCCCATTAAATGCATATAAAATTTAAGGGACATGGAAGAAAGCTCAATCAAAAAACAGTATTACATTAGCACTAAGAAAGACATGCAAGTAGTGTCAGCAAGTACTGGTTATCTTTATACTAATTTATTAGCAGTTTATATGTAAATTATGCAAAATTGTTGCTTAACTTGTCCCTACTGATGGAACTAGATAATCTTTAGGATCCCTCCCTGCCCAATGATTCCACTGGGCTGATCCATTGATCCATTCTATGATTCCATGATTTCCAAGGCAGGAATGAAAACAAGCTGTTAGGAAAGATTTAGATGGGTCCTAAGACGTAGACTGGTGAAACATGAATAGATGTGCTCTGTCTGGACAGAGTAGCCACCAGAGCTTCCATTTAATTTCATCTTCTGACTGATTTCAACCTTCAGCTGAAAGAATCCCTAAAATAAAGTATTTTCTGTAGCTCAGGAGAAAGAATAGGTTCTGCATGCCAATGTTTAATCAAACTCAAATATGCATATTTATTACTGCTTGGAAAGCAAGGAACCGTACCTGAGTAGAAGGGGCTTCTTGAAACTAAAGGTACAATTGGTGTACTCCACTCATCAGCAGTCAGTTTTATTTCTTATGTTTTATTAGTTCCATAGTGGGATTACTTCCCCTATCTAAGTCCCATGGCTGGAAACAGGCATGTTCACATCCTAAAACTGAAAACTCTTCTGATGTTTTGTTCTGTAGCTATTTCATTTTTGCATTGGTTTCAGTGATGTGAAGCCAACGAAACTGCTCTTAAATACTTCCTGTGCCAAGCACTTAACTGTTCTGTGATTCTCTTGAGAAAGACCATTGTATTTCTTGCCTTTGTTATATTCAAGCCTTCAAACTTGTGCCCTTTGTCAATTTCAATCACCTTTGGATAATTCCTAACTATTTTTTAATATAAAGATAAGACACACGTGGATAATTACAATCTCAAATGTATTGCTGATTTAGTTTATTATTTCTTAAGACTGTTCATATTGTGTTCAAATGAGTCTTAAAATGACCTGCTTTTCTCTGTTAGTTGTCAAAGTGTTATGAAAGCAGTGAAAAGGCTTGGAAGCGAGGCAGTACAGCAGCATTCCCTCTTTCTGGTAATAAAAGATTCCTGTGATCCTGTGTTTCCACCAAGAAAAAAATGGTCCATCATTCTCACCCAGTGTTTCTAGGCAAGTATTTTCATTTCAGGATGGTAAAATCAGCACATACCAACCAAGTGAAACACCTCTGTTCCAAGAGGACCTTGTGGTCACATACCCTACATCTAAAACATTGCTGTTTCCTAGCTGGGTTGTCATGCAGAAGATAAGGAAGGGGCTGTTCTTTTAAACACATTGTGCTTTTTCTCTCCCAATTCAATCCCTTCAGAAATGGAAAACCTCATGTCAGAGAGCATCATACAAAATCAAAACAAATTAGGTTAAAAGAAGAGAGCTTTACAGATATACCTAGACTGAGAAGAGATAGCAGATGAGATAGTGGAAGCTGCTAATGACATGTTCTTGGGCCCATGGAAAGGCTTAGGCTGGGAAAGAGAGCTGGGGGCTGCAAGAACTCTGCAGAAGACACATAAAAGCATGAAAGCATAAACAAAATGATTTAACAGGGACACAAATCATGGCATCAGAACCAAGCCCTGGCAAGATTCAGATACGGGAACACTGCTGCATGGTTACCAGGGACAGGTTTTCTGTAGCACACATCTGCAGACTTACAGAATAGCACAACCAAGCACATTCCTACAGAACTCAAGGCAAAATGCACACATTGTGGAAACATTTTAAAACCAGACTATCAATAATTAAGAAAGGCAGTATTACAGGACAGGACTTTTGTCAATGATACATGCTTTTATCTGAAAGATCTGAAGATGTTTGAGTCTAAATACAAGAGAAACATTTTACTGTGCCCAGTCCCAGACAGAAGATTGTCCTGTCAAAACCAGAAGTAATTGGAATGATTAGTTTAGTAGAGGCTTTTTTTTTTTTTTGGTCTGAAGCAGATACTAGGTACATTTTCTTCATGTTATGGTTTCAACTGAGGGATAAAAATTATTTAAACCTTATCATGATTTTATGTGGAAGTGCCTCTCAGGCCAGTTCTGAATTTGAGCATAAGACCTTTTTCAAACCTCCTTTGCTGTCTGGAATAAAACCACTGCTTTTTGGTAGGTCATGGCTAGGTAAAAACTGACTAAAGTGAAAAACTAATTAGTTGGTATATACACATAATGCAAGTCAACTAGGAAAAATTAATTAAGAAGTAGAGTCAAGAGAACATTTCCAATTCCACTTATACATACCTAAAATATGATACCTCTGAGGTCTCAATTATAAGTGTTTTATAATACTGGACATGCGTTTTTCCTTGGATTTTAAAAGCATGCTAAAATAGACATCTTTTCAGAATATTCCTGTAGCAAACTCCAAAGATAAAAGAATATTATGTACCAAAAAACTCACTCTTACTATCTCCAAAATGACTGCAAAGTAAGTGACAGCTGTAGAAATCCCACACATTTCCTCACAAGCTGTCTGACAGTTTTTCATATACAACTGTAACTCCCACTGTGCTACAAGTGTAAGGAATGCATCTCCTTGAAACTTACTTCAGCTCAAAGGCTAATTCTCATTAGGAAAAAAAGACCAGATAAATCTAATAGAAATGAATTGATTTAACTTACAGAGCAAGTCAATCATCAAGTGTCCACCATGTTTTACTGATATCTGCTGAGACACAGTAAGCTCAATCATGTGAGTAAATGACATCTTCTCATTTTCCATTTCTTGTCCTACTGCAGAAACACTATTAAAAGAATCTTCATTCACTGCAACTAAGATGAGGAGTTGTTTGGGTCTTATTATAAATGGTGTAAAAACATTTCTAATTTTAAGCCCAGACTCGCCTTCTGAAAATGAAGTTATTTTTAGGGCGGTTTTATTTTGCAAATTCTATGCAAACATGAACAACATATCACAAAACTGAAAAAAAAAAAAACCCCACATAAAAAAAAAACAACTCTAAAAAACCCAGCCCCCAAAATATATAAAAGCATATAAACCAGGTTACAGCTTTTCATACTACATTCTTAAGCTCAGAATGTGTATGCAGCATTTCCAAAGCCAGAGGGGTACAAAGCAATGGAGCATTACCTTTGGAAGGAGGATGAGAAAGCCTCTTGCACTACTGAGGTGGTGGCTGGTGCTGCCATCAGGCTGGCTGTGCTTGGAGCAGCAGGAGCAGGCTGAGGTGCTGAAGCATGTGGTGCAGGAGCAGCAGAACTGGGAGCCACCGGGGCATGCTCAACAGGGGTACTAATTAGAGTTCAATTAAATAAAACAAGAAGCATCTTAAGAAGGCGTGCATTTACATGGAGAGCATAAAACCTACTATGTTTGAACCTGCAGCTGCAAACATAGTAGCTGGCTGGGTTACTGAGGGAAAAGCACAATTATGCAAAGAAAAAAAAAGACATTTGTTCAGCCTTTTCCATTGTGCAGTTCAGACTGCAATGCAGCGTTGATCCTGCTTGACTGAAATTTACCCCAGGTGTTAAAGAGCACTTCAGTCCTGCTCCCACTGATGCCAGAGGTAGGAAATGTGGCACCCAGGACTGAAATGGCTATGAAGAGCTGTCACAGTCTTGTGAGCTCATATAAATTCCATCAGATATATTGAAATGAATGATAATAATCTACTCTTTTATCCTGTGACCATTTAAGTAACCTGTTGAACTATTAATGTCTTCTATCACCACCCTCACATTTGAGAATTACTCTTAAAGACAGACAAATGGAGCAAAATTAGCAGTTTTTTTTTTTTTTTTAAATCAGGGCATCACTGTAGATAGCTGTCTTGTCCATGAGCAGTGGCCTAGAAACATAATGGATACATGTCTACTTGTTCAGACCTATGTCATAAGCATATTGTCACATCTCTGTGCTCTTACAAATTACTCCTATCAGGTGATGGAATTCAGTGATTCTCTTGCTCAAGTTACAAAGGTCCAAAATGCTCCTTCCTGAGCACACCAAGTATCAAATAACAAAAGAAACCTTACAGCTCCACAGCTGTTTCTTCAGCCAACCTTTGCTCTCTAACTCTCTCTCAGCTTTCTCTTCTAAGCAGAACTACCATCCATTGTGCAAATTATCTCATATTTTCTTTTGCTTCTCTCAGAAGCACTGATTTGCCAAGTTATATTCCTCAGGACATAGAACAATTGTTTGGTATTTCTGAACTTGTGATACCCCTTGTTCTCCAAGGGACTGTCCCATCTCCCCTGTCCTTCACCTCCTCTTCTAGAGTTCAACAGTCTACAGGATGGTATCTTAATTCAGCTGAATATCTTGTTTGATTAGCTGAAACAGATTCTGGTTGTTATACCCACAAATCTCAAAGTTGAATGCAGCCCTCAAAATAGCAGGAAATTGGTATTTTCTCCCTTATGGAGATTCAGCTACAATTATGCACATAATAAGTAAGTTCCTGAAAATAATCATCCAGTTTGCAGTTCTGACTTTTAAATCCTTACACCAGTTTTGCAAAAGTTCTTCCATAGTAATATGCATTTGAGAGTCAGATGATTTCTTCCATCCTGAAGCATTTCATGATGTAAATTCTTCCAATTAACTAGCAGACTATCAATTTCACAGCCTGTGTAACAGAGTAGCTGTGTATTATCCATCACAGCTAATCTGGTACTAAATTTCAACACTGTGAAATTTTCCCTGCGCCACAGTGGGTACCAGAATTACCCCATTAAAAGCTGTGGAGTCACAGTTTTCATCTTACATACTTACAGTTCTTTGATTTAGCAAAGAGGAAAGGATTGAAACTATGCTGCACATAAAAATGGAACTTAATGTATGTGTTGAAAACAAACACAAACTAGGATTTCACCCATTTTGTCTATCTGCACTGATGTGAAAGGGAATTTACTACAGATTTCAGAGGATTCAAGACTTCATACTTTGAAGAGAATGGTGAACTTAATTAATTGCAATTTAATTGTAACAATCTACAAAATAACCAAAATACATATTCAGAGATAAATACTGAAAAGAAAGTTAAAAAAACCTAATCCATATGTGTGAACATGGACCTGTGTGGAGACAGATTTGAACTGAATGAACCCATATAAATAACATAAAACCAAATATACTAGAATACACTTTAAAGTTTAAAAGAAATACAAACAAAGTTTATCTTGCATAGTATTTGTAATATTTCTTTTTATGTGATCAAAATGTTAGAGGCTTGCTCACCTTTCTTCATGGTAGAATATGTTAATTATCAGAACAAGGAATTGTAATAAATATAAATGAAGTGGATACAACCATAAAAATCAGAGTGGTTTGGTTACATAAATTATATACAGTTGATAATATACTCATAACAGGATTATAGAAAGAGCTCAAGACTGACTTGACTGGTCTTAATTTAGCAACTATAAATTTTGCATAATATTATCTATATTGTCAAATACAATAGCCAAATTGTTTTTTTTCCTCCTCCTTTCTAGTTTTTCAGTCTGATTTTTCATTTTAGTTATTCAAGAACAGAAGAATTTCAATAATTGATCTGCTTTATGAAAAAGATCATCTAATGCAACAGCTTCCTTATGATATATTATAGAGTGTTTTTTGGTTGGTTGGTCGGTTTTTAAATACAATAATTTTGTAGTCTTTAAATCTTTACAGTACTTTGTATTTTAAAAGACATTGAAAAAATCAAACATCTTCATATTTGCGGTAACAAACATAAAAGTAAGTTAGGTGGATGAAAACAAACACACATCTGTTCTTAGCTGATTTTCACTCATGAAAAGGAACACAGATCAGTAGAGGTTAAGAAGATAATAATGGCTAACAACCATAATAAGAACACAGCAAGAAATGCACTCTAACATTTAAAATATAAGTATAATCTATACTTTTTTCTCTTGGTGAAGTCCTAAGTTCTGAGATTTTCTATCCCAATAACAAGGAGTGGATGATTAAAACAGCACTTAGTCTCCTTTACGTAATACATGGAAGTTTTGTGTTTCTAATCCTCCAACACATCACTTGCAAAGAATCAAAAATATAGAAAACCAAAAGTAAAATGGATATGAAAAAAAAATCTGTTATTGCATCATTTGTAGGAACAAAGTGCCAGAGAAAGTATTTAGAGAAAGCTGTAATGATTAAGGATTTAATATTTGAATATGGGAATGTTCGTGGAAACAACTGAAAACACAGAAATATCAGCTGCTGCTTCTCTGCTGAAGGTGCTTAATGACTTGTCTCTGTATTGTAGATGTGATCCTATGAGAGCCACTGAAAATGTAACACCCACATGGAACCAGAAGCTGCTGGAGTTGGAAGAACTGGAACCTTGGCTTTGAGGCAATGGGCATTTCCATGTGAAGGAGTTAGAGGTTGTTATTCCAAACCATTGCAAAGCTCCAAACCGGGTCAGTGATGCAGTTACACGGCACAGTGTACCTGTGGTTACCGGATGAAGCAAGAGGGGCTTTCTGGCCAACACCGGCCTCCCCCTGGCTTGTACCTGCTCCAAGCCTCACAGAGCCCTTGGAGGCCACTGGCTGAGCATTGGCAGGGTTGGCATCCCTGGTGGATGACTTAGGAGGGTGCCAAATACTCGAGGTCACATACTGGGGTGCATGCGCGGTACCTGTAGGCCTGGGTGACAGAGATTACAAGGGTGTTTGTAAACGAGGCATTTCCTAGGTAAGAGCAGGGGTTTGAGGAACACACAGAATTCCAGCCACAGATGGAGCTGGAGATCATAATGACAATGCAGATGAAGTAATCATGATAGTTCATTGTTAATTACTGCTTAAGACCAGGAAAGGCTTGACAAATTAAAAAAGGTACCTTGTGTTAAATCTGGAAATCATATTGCTATGAATATCAAAATAAGCAGAGCTGTGATGGTAATGGAGGTGGAGAAAGGCTGTGGTATGACAGATCACACAAGATTAAGGCAACATAGGAGGACAATAACACCAGTCATATATCAGAAATTGTTCCTGGCAAAATAAAATAGTAATTAAAAGAAAAGGAGATTTCAGTGAAGCAGCTGCATAGTCCCATAAATAGTTTTAAACAAATGAAACTGCTGGTGAAATACTAACATATGCTCCTTGTTCTTTACAATTTAATTTATATTCAGGATTCAAGGGGTTTATTTCCTTCTTTTTAAAATTATGTATTTAAAAATAAAAATAAAATTTCCCAACTGTTCAAGTGACAGTTGTCATTACTTGTGCCATTAACAAATAATCTTGTACTCAGAGATTAACTATGCAACCTTCATTCAAATATAAGAAGTCTTAAAAAAAACCCAGAAATAAAAAGGGGTTGCATATCACTGAGGCAGGAATCAAAAACAAAGAGAAAAGCAGTAGCAAAAAATTCTTTTCATCACTAACTACTAAGAAGTCTTTCTTTGCTCCATTTAACAACTGGTTGGATTCACTCAAGAAATACCTGTGTATCAGTACTTGGAGGTTTAAAAAATTAGCTAATTGAAAACAACACATTTCTCTACTCAACTGCAAAATGTTCTGAGATCCTTTGTAAGAAAACAACTTGACATGAAAGAACTTACAGAGGGACTGTTTTGAACCTCATAATCCCTTGAGTATCAATCAAGATCTGACATATAAATGTTCTTTAAAAGACAATCTTATTTATATTTTAAAAATGCCTTGAATAGTCTAGACAAAGTTTAAATTGGAAATTGCTCTTAAAACTATATCATAAACCGACAGTACTCCGTTTTCAAGAATATTTGATTTAAAACTTCTTATTTTTCAGGTTTATAAGTTTTGAGAAACACAACCCCCACCTGTTCCACATCACAGTGCATGAGAAAGAAATGCCCAATGAACCCACTTAACTGAAGCCTCTACTTTCATCATCTGCTCAAACAGTGTATAAATTTCATGTTTTTGAAGTAAGAACAATATGAAGGAAGTGAAGATACATTCTTAACAGGAACTAAATCAAACACAGCAAACATTACCTGTTTTCTGATGCTGCTGCAAGGTTTTCCTTGTCTCTGTGAAAGGAGGGGATACAGTATGAAATAAATGCAATTGCCAGTGATGGCAAAAAAGCCCCACCCAAAACAACCAGGGAAGAAGAACATGGGTTGGGGAGAAATGTTTGGTTGCAAAAAGCATCCTAGAGTGGTTGCTCATAAATACAGCTGTGAGAAGCCTCTTCAGCTTTCCAGGTAAAACCACCAGATATACAAGTTTGCTGTATATCTCTTATCACTTGCAAACAACTTTGTTGCAATAATAAAATAAAAGGAAAATAATAGGTTACAAATGACACATTGTATGTGTGTATACAATTTCAGGAAGAGTTTTGTCTTTAATAAGTTTCCTTTTAAAAAAGAATTCATTAATATTTCAGCAGAACATACTTGGATGCCAAATCCAGGCAGTAAAAACAATCAGAGCTGGGCAGTCTTCATGGACCCAATATTTTGAAGTGATAAGCAGTTAAATGGTTACCAAAGACTTACACAAAAAGGATTTCATATGCCTGGCATAATTTAAAAATTCTCTTCCCTACCCAAAAACTACTTTTCTCAATCTAAATTGGATTAGAAACAATTCCTTCAACTGGAAATCATTCCTTCGTTGAGGTGAGGATTAAGTCAGCCTCAGTTTCACTGATGGAGAACTGGGCTGTTATTCTGTAAACACACATACACACTTAAAAAATAACTGATCTGTTCAAATGCAAGCAATTGTTTATCTGTAAGAAGTTAAGACACAAGTAATTTCATAAAGAATAGAATCTATTAGCCTTAAACACCTAAGTTTGAAATCCAGTTAATTAAGTAATTGAGATAGTCTCACTATTTAACAATTTAATGGGTGATTGCATACCTTCCTATTTAAGGAATTGTGCTGAAATTTCAACAGGTTTAAAGCTGATATATGCCAAATGAGAACACTTTTCTTAAGTGGCATGTAAAATTACAAACCACAAAATGAATGTCCTCATTTATGCAACTTAACCTTTTTCCTGAAGCACCCTTTGAAAACAAAAAAGGAACACATGCACTTTATATGGATTTGCTGGGTTCCAATCATCAACTTACATTATGTTTGGAAGGCTATTCTTAATATTTTCCACATTATTATCAGTATTGTGTTTATGTACTTATACATTTACATATATAAGTACAGTCACATATTCTTTCTTTAGTTCAGTTCCAAGAAAGCTACAAAAGCCAAACCAGTTAAGACCAGCAAAGGCTTCAGCACAGGCGTTCTCTATGAATTTTTAAAACCTCTAATTGAAATGTAGCCCTAAAATATATTAATTGAAGCCAGATTTTGAAACCCAGAAGTTGGGAAATGCCCCTCAGATGTGTCTGTCTGAATAAGATGTTCCTGTGGTCAGAAGAGCCTGCCTTGAACAGAAATCCCCAACGAGGTCAATGGCTCACCACTCTGAAGCAATGAGAAACCAAACACTGTCCTTATGGTAACCAAATGCCAGCTATGAAACAAGGTGCTAGAGGATGGATTAGAGACTGTGCAGGTGTGGGAACTGTTAATTTACCAAGAGCCATAATCATGCAACAATGTTAAAGAACACAGTCAGGGCCTGCAAACAAAATACAGGGCTATTTATCTCCAGTGTTACCAAATGCTCTATGAGAAATTACAGCCAAGACCAAAAGGCACGCAGCTGGGGTCAGGCTGAAGCAGTGCTAAGCCTCTGTTGTTACAATTAATCTGATCCTAACACTTCTGCTCCAATAGCTGGGGCTACAATGAACAAGGCAAAAAAAAACCCAAGTCACTTGACTCAAGGTCACTTTGAGGTTGGTATTTCACAAAATCTTTTTCCCCAAGTGTACAATATTGGATAATGTTGTGTGACGATGGCAGGGGAGTTGTGAAGGTTAAAACAGAGAGAGAAGTATAGTAACAATACTTCCACAGAATAAAACAAAGGAAAAGGCACAGAGTAAAGGGAAAAATGAGTTCAAAGGCATATAACACTTCTTCATGGTTTTGCTTCCAGGACCTATTTCTCTTCCCAGTCAATAGAAGTAATTCCCATTTGGCTACCGAGAAGAAAGGCTCAAGATCAGATGTGCCTCTGACTGGCAATACTTGCATTCTAAGGAACCAATGACTGGATTTCTGGCCTTTACAATCAAAACATTTTCTGCTAACTAAATGCAGAAATAACTTTACTTCTGAGCCAAATATATCCCTCAGGCAGGCTCAGTAAAGTCAATACCTTCACAACATGAAAGAATTTGGCTCAGAAAACTATGAGCTGTTTGTATCTCTGCCTACACAGGCTGCTGCACTAACTGACAGTAGTGAATAATAGTTTTGAGCTATCTGGGAGAGATTTAAAATTACTGTGGGAGATTTTTTTTTGTCTGCAGTTGTTTTCAGTCCCCACTGAAATGGCTTTTGATAGAAGGGCCTCAGTCAATGACTGTTCTGAGACAACAGTGCAACTCCCACAGATTTCATTAAATTTTGGACCTGTATTTCAAACAAGATCTATTTAAGCAACATACTCTCTTCCCAATTCCACAGGACATTATACAGTAGAAATTATGAAATGTTTTCTTCTCATAAAATATGCTACATGATATGGTGCTAAAGGCAGAGTGAAATGACAGAAATGAAGTCTTTTCCTCAGAGACATCAACAAGAATTAGAAAAGTTTGAGTAACAGAAATCAAAATTTATTTTCAAGCCAAACTTGTGTGTGCTATTGGACTCTAAAAGTAGCCTGGAGAATCTTCAGAATTTTCAGTAAATGAGTAGGTTAAATCTGAACTGTATGTATGGGACACTGGAATGCTTTCCCATTCTACTTTATTTTTGGGAACCAAATGCAAAAGATCCCCAAACATGTACATGTAGCAGGCAAGCTGAAATGTGGAGTTGGTGCACCTTCCATCTACCTTCTTCTTAGATAGTACAGATCTAGACTCTCTCTCTCTGGAAAAGCTCTGCTCTATTCCCCTAAAATATGGAGACAGAATCCTATGATGTGCAATGAAGACCTGGTGACACAAAAACATGAAGTGTCCTGAGGGTCCACATGGTCCTTCAACTACTCTTTCAGTACTGAAGCAAAAAGCAAATATTCTAATTGAGTTTTTTCTTTATACTCTCGTGGAGCAAGACTTTTTCTAATTTTACAAATGAGAGACTAAAACTTAATAGATTTGTTCATGGTCTAAAAGAAAGTCCACAGCAGTGTAAAGAACTCAAATAAGCTCTCCCAAACCCCAGCTGATTATTTAAATTATCAGTTCACCCTCTTTAATCAGTTCACCCTCCTTTATTTTTAAAATAAATATATCTGTTCATTTCATCAGTATTTTACTGTATTGAGAACCTAATACAGTCTTCTACCAAGTCTGACAGATATACAATCTTTTTCCAAAGGGGATATAAACATACAAATTATTAGGGTCTATATTTATTGAAATCAAATGTTCTTCTTTCTAGTAGTATAGTGTGGTAATTAGACTTATAACTTTCATCCTAGCATGGACTTATATTTATATAAGCATATTTGCCTACAAATAAAATTTCCTTTTAAGAAGTAAAACTAACAAAGTAATTTTAAAGAAATTCTTATAGGGTGTCTGGGAGTAAAGTTGTGTGAAAGCTATTTTGTAATTGCCTTCTAAACATTTTTTGTCTTGAAGGCATGAGACACTGACACTGTTGGAAACTGGACACTGAGCTAGGCTAACCGCTGCTCTGATCCACTGAGGCTATTTCTACCTTTCTGTATTTGCAGCTGAGAATTTTTCCATGGTCAGATGACTATTGTGGCTGCTTGCCTTTTTTTCCCCCATGCTATATTTCTGTTATTCTAACAAAGACACCAGAAGACAAACAAAGAAATGACAGACAGTTAGCTGGAGAGGACAGAAGATAACTGTCATGCTGGTTTAGTTAACACTTCAGCTTGGGATCACAAAAAGGGGCAGAAGAGCGAGTCTCTCTTTTTCAGCCACCGTAGTTAAGAATGTGAGCAGCCCACGCCAAAACAATTGCAATACATCCTACTATGTTTGCTTTCCAAAACAGGGAAATACTTTTCTCACAGGGGTTTCCTGGTTTGTGCAGACAGTGCCACAGAAGAGAAGAAGCATTACTATAGATTCAGTGGAAAACAACCAGCAGCTCATTCTCAAGACATAGTATGAAACTCAATCAAAGCAGCTCACTAAAATCCAAGCCAATTCCTCCTATAAATGCATTTTAGTGGCATCTACAGGTTTGCTGTTAAGTCTAACAGTTACAGAATAAATGCAGCTGGACATACAGCAGCCTTAGTGTTGGGGAAAGGTAAGGTAACTCTTGCCCAAGGTTTTTGGCATGTGAACTCCAATTTTAAATTTTATCTTATTGGTAAATACATCACTTTAGTAAGAACAAAGACTGCAAAATTCTGAGCATGTGTAGTAATTGGAGCTGGGATTTAATTCAGATAATTATTCCCTATCTTGGCCTTAAGTGCGCAATTCGATTTAATTGAATGTTTTCCTGTAGCTTTCTACAGCCCCACAGTATAAAGTGCAGGGATCTGCCACCAGGCACCTGAGCACAGGATCCAAACTCTCAGTCTGTGTTCCTGACCACTACAGACAAAACCAATGCACAACAAGTTTGGGTTTTGAATGCCAGGAAATTATTTCTCTCTCACTGAAAGTTCTTTCTCATCATGAATTCACTTTCCTCCAAGGAAGCTGAGGAAAGAACAAGAACTCAGAGGTTTCACTTTCAGGGGCTTGTTTTTTAGACCTACTTTTTAATTTGTGCACATTTGATGATAAGAAAATTCATATTTCCTCTACATGGCATTAAACTAAGTTTGAAGCTGCCCCTGAAACCCAGCAATGTGTCTGGGCTGTTCAGTTCCTGAATCAAATATCTAATTGATATGAATTAGAATGGCTGTCATTTTTTCAGAATGTGGATTAAATTTTATTTCATAAACTCTCTCCAGGATTTTCTTACCTTCCCTCTCTCTCATTTGTAA